GTGACATGGTAGTTAAGGCACTGGATGCCACACGGCCGACTCCACGGTTGGAGTATAGACCTGGTGGCCTGAAAATCACGTGGGACAGGCATGTGTGTGTGTGCGTGTGTGTGTGTGTGTGGGGGGGGGCCTGTGCATGCCCAAAATCCTGAGAGGAGAATGGAGGAGAATGGGTTGTGGTGTGATCATTTCCCCCTGGGGAGGTGATTTCTTTCTCTCTCTATCATTCTCTCTCTCTCTCTCTCTCTCTCTCTCTGTCAAGTACATGCACCCTATGGCAAAAAAAAAAAAAAAAAAAAAAAAAAAAAAAAACCTTAAAAAAAAGGGAGGGGGAGTTTGAATTGATTTATGTGGTTGAAGGAAATTAAATAGCACTTGAGATGAGTGGGATAGAAAAGGCTACGAAGACAGCTTCTACTTTTCCATTTGTTCTCTCAGCTCATTTGAAGCATGCCAGAGCTCCATGTTCATGCTTACTGCTTTGCCTCCTTCTCAGCGGGATTTATGAACCCCTATGGGGGAAAGTACTGAGCTGCATAGACCGAGACGTTTATTTTTCAAAGAATGACCAAGAAATCCAGTAAGCCACTAAACAATGAATACGATGTAAGCCAGTGGCAGTGCTACAAACCTGCAGTCTCAGCAATTTAAGAAACCGAGGCAGGAGGATTGCAAGTTCAAGGCCAGCCTGGGCAACACAGACTTGTCTCTCACTATAGCTGTAAATATATATATGTATGTATGTATAAATAAATAAAAGCTCAGTCTACAAAGAAGGAAATGGAATGAATAGTTGAAGATGTCCCTGAGGTCCAGCCAGGCATTGGGCTCTAGGCCTTCCAGCCCGGGAGTCTATACCCCTGGCCACCGTCAGCCTTCCAGGTGCGGCTGTGGTCTCTGCTGCAGCTCGCCACTGGGTGCCTGGGTGGTCCATGGGCAGCGGTGAGGACCACAATGACAGATTACCGCGAGGAGCAGCAAAACGAGCTGGAGGCTCTGGAGTCGATCTACCCCGACTCCTTCACAGCTTGATTGTACATTGGTCCAACTCTCTTAACAACTAGTCTTCCAGAATATAAATGGACTCTCCTGATAGCACATTCTCCTTCAGTAGTGCTTCATTTGACAAGGTCCTGCTAAGTATTATGGGAAAATTCACCTAGTATCACCAGATACTGTGACATCTGAGGCTGGAGAAAACGATGAAACTGTCCAGACTACCTTCAAATTGACATACAGTGAAAAATACCCAGACGAAGGTCCACTTTATGAAATATTCTCCCAGGAAAATCTAGAAGATAATGATGTCTCAGACATTTTAAAATTGTTAGCATTACAGGCTGAAGAAAATCTTGGTATGGAGATGATTTTTACTCTAGTGACAGCTGTGAAAGAAAAATTAAATGAAATAGTAGATCAGATAAAAATTATAAGAGAGAAACAAAAAGAAAGGAAGCTGGAAAAGGCGAAAAGCAATTATTCCATGGCACTCCTGTTACAATTGAAAATTTCTCAAGTTGGGGGAACCAGCAGGTGACATGGTGGTTAAGGCACTGGACACTACCACATGGCTGATTGCTGTTTGAGTCCTAGACCTGGTGGCTTGCTTTCTCACGCTCCCTCTCTCTCTCTCTCTCTCTCTCTGGTCAAATTAAAATAAAATGAACAAATAAATAAAATTAAGTAAATAATTTTTAAAAAAATTTTCTTAAGTTGGAAGGCCAAGTTTGTTGCAGAACTCTTAGAAATTAAAAAGAAATGGATGAAAGAAGAAGAACAAACAGGAAAAAACAAATTAAATGGGAAGCAGCTATTTGAAACAGATCAATATCCAGATTTTGGAGGATGCTGGAAACAATGTGGAGGTAGGTGAGTCTTTGTTCCAGGAAATGGACAACTTGGAGCTAGAAGATGATAAAGATGATCCAGATTATAATCCTGCTGATGCAGAGAGTGACTCAACTGGCTAATGGACTATCCCATCTGCAAAGAGGCTTGACTGCCACAGCATCTGTGGCTATGCCAAGAGGGTTTTGATTTGCCTTTTTTTCTAAGAAAAAATCATTTTCAGGAGAATATTCTGATAGCTTTCATCATTGAACTTAATACACCGACCTTAAAATTTAAAAAAAAAAAAAAAAAAAAAAAAGATGTCCCTGATTGAACCCACAGTGTCTGGGAGTAAATTCATGGAATGCTAAAGAGTTGGTTGCTAGGTGACCAGTATAAACAGCTTCGGAACCTATGAAACCAAGAAAGGTTTAAGATGCAGAACCTTACTTCCCTTTGAGGACTGTGCTGTGGGAAGCCATTTGGAAGGTAACATAAAAAACACTGCTGCGGGGCCAGCAATTGGCATAATGGCTATGTCACTCGAGTCCCAGAACCTGGTGACAAACTCACGCCAGGCGTGTGTGCGTGCGTGCCCAAGATCCTGAGAGGAGAATGGAGGAGAAGGGATTGTGGTGTGGCCATCCCCCCTGGGGGATGATTTCTATCTCTCTGGCAAGCACAGATTTCTATCTCTCTGGCAAGCACACACACCCTATAGCAAAAATTTCTCTTGCTAAAAAAAAGGAAACTCCCTCTAAAAAAAATGAAAATGAGAAAGTGGAGGGAGGCCCAGGAGATGGTGTGGAGGTTAAGGTGGCTGGCTGTGCAGTTCCAGTCCCAGACCTTATGGCCTGAGAAACACACTGGGTACGTGTGTGCATGCCCAAAATCCCGAGAGGAGAATGGAGGAGAAGGGATTGCTACAAAGCCATTCCTACAAGGCATGATTTATCACTTTCCCTCTCACATGCACCCTATAGCAAAACTAAAAATATAAAACAACAAAAATAAATAAGTAAAATCAGAAGAAAAAGAAAAGGAAAGTGTGTGGAGAGGAATGAAGGGAATTTTTTGGAGAAAGAGGAGGCAAAGGAGGGAGTGGTCTGAAACCAGCCAGGTTAAAAGGCTGTGTTCCCTCATCCCCCTCTCCTCACCAACTAAGCTTCCTTCATACACTCACTTCATTGATACCCCTTGGGCGTGTGGCTTCTCTAAATTTAATTTGAGATCTTGTTAAAATTTTAACACTAAATCTAAGCATTTGTTCTCTACAGTACTTCCCATGTTGGCTAAAATCTGGAAACAGCCTGCCCAATAATTAAGGAAGAGCCAGTGATTTACCTACTAGGTAAAATATGCTATAGCTGTTAACATTTTTTCCAAACAATTATTTTATTTATTATTATTTTTAAAATTTTTTAAAAATATGCTTTAGGACGCATGGCCCCACCAGAGAGAAATATATAGAGAGAAGGAAAGTGAGAATGCAAACCACCAGGTCTGAGACTCAAACTGCAGTAGGTCATATAAGAGTCCAGCAACTTAACCACCACACCACCTGCTGGCCCCCAGCTGTTAACATTTTAACACTAAAAAAACTACGTTGCAATATGGAAAAGTGCTAAGGACAGAAGAGACAGAAGACACAGTCATTGAGCTGGGTAATTAGAGTCAAATATTTGATAATGTGAGGTATCTGAAAATTAAGAGTATGAAATAAATGATATTGACTAGGATATGATATGGTGGTCTGGATAGGTCAAGACAGAGTCATAGAGTGGACAGGAATTGAGCTGGGCCCAGAAGAAAGACAAAATTTATGACAAGTATAAAAGCAAGACCATGTCACATAGAGGGCACAAAGGAAGCTTTACTGTGTGGAAGAAGCAAGACTCAGAGAACAGCTAGGAGACCCAAGTGGTTCAAGCAGGGGTTACCTATCAGGATGAAGTAATAAACAAGGGCTCTAATCACGGAGAAACCTGAGTGCCAGGCTGAGCTGTTTGAACTTTATGAAACAACTCTTTAGAAAAGAGAGAAAGCAAAATTGAGGACAAATTTGAAACATGGGCTATTGCTAAAAATCAGTCCCTCATAAGGGGATGAGGGTCTGAGCTTGAGACTGAATGTGAGAACTAGAAGCAAAGATCTGACATGAGGAATATTAGAGGGACCAGCAGATGGCATAATCGCTATGTTGCTGGACTCCCACATGGTCGACTGCGGTTTGAGTCTCAGACCTGGCAACTTAAAACTCACAAGGAGTATGTGTACTTGCGTGCCCAAAATTCCAAGAAAAGACTAGAGGAGAAGGGATTGTGGCATGGCCATCCCCCCTGGAGGGGTGATTTCTCGCTTTCTATCTCTCTGTCTCCTTGGTAAGTGCATGTGCCCTGTAGCAAAAATTTCTAAAAAAAAAAAAATCTAGAATCTAGCCAGCAGGTGGTGCTGAGGTTAAGGTGCTGGATCCCACATGGCCGGCTGTGGGGTTAGAGTCCCAGACCCGGTGGCTTGAAAAATCATGCCGGGCACATGAGCATGCATGCCCAAAATCTCGAGAGAAGAATGGAGGCGAAGGGATTGTGGTGTGGCAATCCCCCTTGCGGGGAGGTGGTGGTGATTTCTCACTTTTTCTCTCTTTCTCTCTCTGATGAGTGCATACACCCTGTATCAAAAACTTAAAAAATAAGTAAATAAATAAATAAAAGAAAGGGGAAAAAAAGAAAAGATCATGCCATTTCTATCTTGTTTTAATGTGCACAGCTTTTCCCTTATCCTCATCCTCTTTTTATTTTTTTTTCTTTTTTTCTTTTTTTAGAGAGGTTTTTGCTATAGGGCGTGTACGCTTGCCAGAAAGACAGAGAGAGACAGAGAGACAGAAAGCGAGAAATCACCCCCTACAGGAGCTGGCCACACCACAATCTCTTCTCCTCCATTTCCTCTCGGGATCTTGGGCACGCACGCACACGCGCCCAGCGTGAGTTTAAGCCAACAGGTCTGGGACTCGAACTGTGGTTGACTACATGGGAGTCCAGAGACATAGCCATTACACTAACTACTGGTCCTCTTTCCATCTGTTTTCCAAGTTATTCTTCTTCTGTACTGCTACGGGCTAATGATTTTTGCTCACCTAAAGCTCTCACTAGTACCTCTCATTGTTTTGACAGGTGCCTGTTCCCATTCCCAGACCTTGCCTCTAGGCCAGGCAGTGTGGAAAGGAAGCGTTGTTGGGAAACAATATGACTAAGAACCCAAAGGAAAAGCCCTCTTTCTCCCATCATTTCCACCAATCACTACTCCCACGGCTGGGATGGGGCAAGACTTTCTGCTGCTCAAAACTCAAAGACAAGGAACACTGTGCCTCCATCTCCAGTGTGCCTCCGGTCTTCCCCTTCAGTCCTCAGCACTGTGTGCACCTCAAGAACCAGTATGTGACAAAGGCCGCTGCAAACCTGACTTTCTCTCAAGAGGTCGTGCGGCAGCGTGGGGTGCCCAGCATTCCTTACAGCCAGTACAACTTTGACCACATCTACAACACAGATGACATCATCCAGCCTGCCCAGATCAAGAAGGCCCAGCCTGAGAAATCTGTCGGCTTCAAGTCCTTGAGTTCCTCAGGTCCCTTAGCCATGGACACCTCCCAGGCTGTGAAGATAGAAAGCTCTGCCCACCCTAAAAAGAGGCCGAAGAAATCAAAGCCAGCCGGAGCAGTGCAGAAGTCACCTCACCTTCTCATCCATCATCCCCACAGGAATTCAGGTATGCTGAGCCTGCTGCCTTCTCCGGATGTGTTTCTGGAGGAAAGGGAAGCCTGGCTCCCACCTCCTGAGAAGGAAGCCCGAGCCTGGGAGGCCATTGTGCTAGAAAAGCTGGACAAGCGCACGGCCCGATGGATCCAGAGCAAGCGCCCTCTACGGCCTGGGGTATCCCCTAACAAGTGGCAGACCTTCTTACACCAGCAGTATGACTGGAGCCATATCCGGGATGAGCTGACTTCCTCCAGCGACCTAGAGCTCCTGAAGCAGCTGGAGGCGGAAGAGTTGGCGGAGTTTGAAGAGCCAAGTGTCATCCCACCCACCCAGGAAAAAAAGAAGCCGGAGTTGCCACTCCCCCTTTATTACAGGTAGGCTGGCCAGCGCCTCGGGTGCACCCCCGAGAATCCCTGGGGGGCCACTGCTTATTTCAGAACCATCTCCCGTCAGCCTCAGGCTCTCTACTGCCAGCCTGCTCTCTGAGATCTCAAAGTAAGGTTTCTAACCTCTGCATTGCTGACGTCCTGGAATGGACAATTTTTTGTTGCGGGGGAGCTGCCCTGTTCATTGTAGGATGTTAGCAGCACCCCTGGCTTCTCTCCACTAAATCACAGCCCCTCACTTGTGACAACCAAAGATGTCTCCAAGGGAAACAAGGCACCCCCAGTGAAGAACACCACCCTTAAAGGGTCAGTTCTTGGCCTTCCCCGGCAGCCTTAGCTCTCAGTTGCCATCCAAGGGCTGCGAGAAATGCACCCATGGTGAATGTGAGGAAGGCAGAGACCTCATGGCACTGTGTTTCGGTTCCAGCTCACTCTGAATAAGAAACCAGTGTGTCAGGGACTCAAAGACCGACCTGCTGTAGGACATTGAGCTAAACCTGAGAGAAGATTGCATAGTTCTCAGACTGATTCCTTCTCGTTTGTAGCTTGAGAGAAGACTGGAGTTGTTATAATAGCCCAGATTCCCAAAAGTGAGCTAAAAATAGTGGAAAGCATTTATTCATTTATTTATTGGACAAATATAAATTGCATTCTTGCTACCTTCCAGGTTCTTTGTGAGGTGTTGGGAATGTAAAAGTGACAGACATGTGCTTTTTTTGAGAGAAATTTTTGCTACGAGGCTCATGTACTTGCCAAAGAAACAGAGACAGAAAGCAATTCCGGGGGCAGGGGGTGAGGGGGATGGCCATGCTGCAATCCTTTTTCCTTCCTCCTCCTCTTGGAATTTTGGGCCCATGCACATGCACTCAGCATGAGTTTCAAGCCACTGGGTCTGGGACTCAAACCGCAGTTGGCCACATGGAAGTCCAGTGCCTTAACTACTACACCTGCTGGCCTCCAGACATGTGTTTTTAAGGAGCTTACATCCTGTCCCCAGGGTGGACAGACACTAAATAAAAGATAGAGTGAAGTAATATGGGAGGTGGGCTCCCTTTCCCAAGTCCATGCAAACTCTAAGGTACCCTCTTTAAAGCAGTGTTATGCTGGGAGCATGGCTGCTCTGTCATGCTGCCCAGAAGCTGCAGGTGTGGCTTCATCAGTGGAGGAGAAGGTGGCTGCAGACTGGCCTCTCTGACAGCCCCATATTCAACTGGCACCGTGAGGACAAGGCTGAGAGTTAAACATAGGTGTTCAGGTGCTTCTGTGCGTATGAGCTGAGTTTAAAAAGGGAAGGGACAGAGCTGTGGATCTAATGGAAAGGGGGAACCCCGTCTCCTGCCCTTTCCCCTTTTCTTCCCTCACCCCTGCCAAGATTGTCCAGTTACTTCCCGCAAGTACAGACAGTTGAAATAACACCTAGCAACAATAAGACTGCTGAAGATATCAACAAGAGGAAGAGAATTTCCCAGCCCTCAAACCAGAGCTACTTCCGGCAAGTGAACCCCCGAGCTGGAAAGTTTGCTTACTCCACAGACAACACCTTTGAACAGGAGATTTACTTCGGTAATAGAACTGGGTCCTGTGGTGGGGGCGCAGGTGGACATGGGCCAGGGAGGTGGAAGGTAGCCGGGATGGTATGGTACGGGATGGAAACACTTAGGAATGAGATGTCCTGGGTGACCCACGTTTTCATGGTCACATCCTCTGATTATTCGCAGGGAGTGGGCATGCAGCGATAGCAGTGAGGAAGGAACTTTTTCTTCCCCATTTCTCTATTGCTTCAAAAAATGTTGTTTTCTATATTCACCATACATACATGAGAAAGCGAGAGAGATGAGTACCCCGCGCAGAGTCTGCTTATGCGTGATCTCCTCCACCAGCCCATCGACTGGCATGCTTCAGGCTGACTGAAGCCAAGGACTTGGACATAGTAGCCATGTTGGATCTGGCTTTTCTTGAGCAGCTCATTGCCACTGCTCCACGCAGCCAGCCCTACCCCTCTATCTTACTGCGAGGGCAGTGGAGGGTAGGACTGTAAGGTTGGCAAGATTTGACTTTTCTTCTGTCTACCTTTCTCCCTTCTTTCACTTTGAGATATTTTTTTCAGTGAGATGTAATGTTAGAACAATTGTGTGTGTGTGTGTGTGTGTATGTGTGTGTATGTGTTATATATTTTAAAGTTATGCAGATTTGGAATAAAATCCTGGCCCAGCCCCCTCTTACTAACTTTGGGAAATTACACAATCCCTGTGAACTTTAGGCACTTTATTTGTAAAACAATGTTAACAAAAATGTACTTCAAATAGAGGAGACAAGAAAGTATGTAAAGTGCACTCCTGGCCCGATGCCTGGCACATCTTGATAAACGCCCGCCACCTTCTTCTTCCATCTTGCTGTCCTTTAGATGTTTGGGTTTCCAGGACACCTGATCTGGGTCACAGCCCAAGATGTTTCTTCTTTCCTACTGCCTAGCTTGTTCCTAAACTGAGGTCAGCTGACAGTGTCTTTAAAGTGTTTAACAAAATTACTCTGACTAAGGTGTTCATGGCTGATAGGATTAATTTAGTGCCCCTTCTTTAATATCTGGCTTTTCACAAAGGGCAAGGTCTGTAAGTTAGGCAGGTTCTATCTTATTGAGACCTTTTTTGGCTGTGAGGCCTCTATGAGCCTTCTCTATGCGACTACTAGCTGTGACATTTCTAAAGCAAAGATCACCTTCAAGGGATGCCCCCAGCATGGCAGGCATGGATCCTATAAGCTCAGAGTGGGGCAAAAAAAAAAAAAAGGGCCTGATCCTGGTGGCTGGAAACCAGGAAGAGAGGGAAGAGGACATCTGGGGACTTATTTCTTTGTCTCATCGCAGATGAAGTCCAGATCATCCACCAGATTGGTGCAGAGAGAGACCAGATTTTCCTGGAAAACCTCAATCGGTACAAGAAGCAGCTGACTAAAATTTTCCCTGAAAGTCCAGAAAAGTGGAGTTCGCAGCCAGTTCCCACAGCATGTAAGCAGGAAGCTGATAATGGGGGATAATGACAGAAGGGTGTAGTTCTTTTTGGCCTCCCTCTAGTTTAGGGGCTGAGGCACCACTGGCATCTAAGAAACTCCCTTCCTACCAACTGAAAATCATCTCATTAAAAACAAAACAAGACAAAAAAGAAAACTACCTGCAGCTAGGAAGAGACTCAATAGAACACACAGTCCGTTGAAATCAGACATAACTGACGTGTAACCAAGGTTTTAGGACTAATAATTACCCATATGGCACGTCCATTTTTTTTTCTTTTGGTCAGAGGGTGTATGCATGAACCAGAGAGGGGGGTGGAGAGAGAAAGTACCCCCAATGGGCTATGGTCACACTGCAGTCTTTTTTTCATCATTTATTCAGGATTTGAGTCACGCCCAATGTGTTTTTCAAGCATCCAGGACTGGGATTCGAACTTCAGTTTGCCATGTGGGATCTGGGTTTCTATGCACAACAGTTAACTGCTATACTGTGGGCTAGCCTAAAACAAGTCCCTTTCCTTTTTTTCCCCCTGTAATTTTCTTTTCTTTCTTTCTTTCTTTCTTTTTTTTTTTTTTTTTTTTTTTGTGGAGAGGTTTCCACTATAGGGTGCATGCGTTCACCAGAAAGACAGAGAGGACAGAGAGACAGAAAGTGAGAAATCACCCCCCCGGGGGGATGGCCATGCCGCAACCCCTTCTCCTCCATTCTTCTCTCGGGATCTTGGGCATGCACACACAAGCACCCAGCATAAGTTTAAGCCACTGGGTCTGGGACTCAAACCGCGATCAACTACATGGGAGTCCAGCGACATAGCCATTATGCTAGCTAACTGCTGGTCCCTCCCCACTGTAATTTTCTAAAGGGTGGGTGTGCTTGCCGAAGACAGAAAGAGGGCAAGAGAAAAACCTCCCCCTCCAGAGGGGCATGCCCGCAAAACAATTCCCACTTCTCCATTTCTCCATCCTGTTGGGACTTTGGGCATATCTGCACATGTACTGTGTTTTTGGGGTTTTTTTGAGAAGTTTTTGCTATAGGTCACGTGTACTCGCCAGAAAGACAGAGAGAGACAGAGAGACAGAAAGCAAAAAATCACCCCCCGAGAGGATGGCCACGCTGCAATCCCTTCTCCTCCATTCTCCTCTCGGCATCTTGCGTGAGTTTAAGCCCCCGGGTTCAGGATTCGAACCGCGGTCAACTACATGGGAGTCCAGTGACATAGCCATTACGCTAACTGCTGGTCCCCGTGTGCTGTTTTTCAAGTTGCCAGGGACTGGGATTCAAACCACATAGTTACGTGTGGAATATGGTTCCATTAATCATTAGGCCATGGGGCTGGCCTGGCAAGTCCTATTTTTGGCGGGGAGGGGGTTGCCATAGGGTGTCTCTCTCACTAGAGAGAGACAGCAGTAGCGGTCCATTCCTGTCCTCACCAGCCCCAAACCTTGTCTCTAGTGCTGCCTGGCTAGGCAAAAGCCACCAGAGTGAAAGAGTTCCTACTGATGGCAGCTGTGGGTAGCATTCTCCAAACTCACACACCCTCCTTATTATTTTCTTTAGTTTTTTTTGTCATAGGATGTGTGCACTTGCTAGAGACGAGAGACATAGAGAGAGAGAGAAAGTGAGAAATCACCCCCCAAGGAGGGAATGGCCATACCATAATCCCTTCTTTTTCCTCTTCCTCTCAGGATTTTGGGCACACACACACACATGTGCCTGGCATGATTTTCAAGCTGCTGGTTCCAGGATTTGAACTGCAGTTGGCCATGGGGGCAGTTCAGTGCCTTAACCACTACACCACCTGGTGGTTCCCACCCTCCTTTTTTGTTGAAGCCCACCAATACAATGCAGCAAGAAAGTGCCCCCACAGAGCCTTGGGTTGAGTCTTAGCAAGTCATCTTCTGGGAATTCAGCTACTTCACTGACACAAGGACACTAACCATTATAGGGTATGTGCCCTACAGCAAAAACAAGCAAACAAAAACTAAAAACAACAAAAAACAAACAAACAAAAAAAAAAAACCACTAGATCTAAAGTAAAGTAAGTGTTGACAGTTGTACTTGTTTATTCCCACAGAAGTTAAATAAAAATCTGAGACTTCCTCACCACAAATGCATTTTAACTCCCTCAACAGGGGGACACAGGAGGGAGGGGAGAAGGGGAGAGGGACTCAGCCTTCTCATGAGAGATTTCAGGCTGAGAGAAGTGGAGGTATCATATAGCGGTTTCCACTCAGTGAGTCCGACCAGCTTGGAGGGGCGCTACAGTTTCTGGCTGCTACTCTGCAAAGGCAGGGAGCCCTCCACAGAGTACCTGAGCTCCCTGAGCGTGACCCAGTTGGGAGGACTGCTTGGAGGACATGCACCGTGTAGGCATCTTTGCTAAATTGCCCTGGAGTCCCACGGGACTCTTGTCATCTTGTTTGTTTATTATGGGGCGTGTGCTCTCCCCAGAGAGAGACAACAGAGAGAGAAAGTGAGAAATCAACTCCCAGGGGAGATGGCCACACCTCAATCCCTTCTCCATTTTCTTAGGATTTTGGGCACACACACATGGTGCCCAGCATGTTTCTCAAGCTGCTGGGTCTTGGACTCGAACTGTGCAGACAACCATGTGGGATCCAGCCACCTTAAGACCCACACCACCTGCTCATTCTCACAGGACTCTTAACATTAGAAGAAATGTTATTGCCCTCCTTGCTCAAATGAAAGAACGGATTCAAAGCAAATCTAAAGGTGTTAGGAGATTGGAATGAAATCTTGGAAGAAACAAAAGTGGTTGGTAGATCAAAACATCAATACATGCAATGTGGCAAATAAGGAATTTTGTCAGTTTGAAAATGTTTTTGTCTTCCCTTCCCCCTCTCCACACAGCATCTCTCCTGAAGAAAGGGATTTCTGAATCTGTTTGACACTGTGGAGAACATTAAGTTCAGAAAAATGTAACAACTATTAACTATTTTTATATAACAACTATGCTTATAAAACATTTATTTTTTGTTCTTGAATTTGTTTTTATGATAGTGTGTGTGCTCATGAGAGAGAGAGATAGAGAGATATTACAATCTCCTTCCTTAACCACCCAGCTCCTCAGAATATTGGACACCCACATGCACATCCAGTGTTTTCAGGCCAACCAGGGATCTGAACCAATAGTTGGCATGTGGCTTCCAGTGTTGCAGTCCAGTACACTGGACTGTGTCACCTAGGATGGGCCCATTCTCAAATTTCTGACTTTTATTTGTCATAACTAGAAAAAGCTCAGAAGTGGCAAAAATAATTAGTACTTAGCAGCTTACAGCACTATTCCTCTCCCCAAATTAAAACCATTAAAAAGAAAACTTAATAGGACCAGCAGATGGTGTAATGGTTATGCTGCTGAACTCCCACGTAGTCAACCTCAGTTTGAATTCCAGAGAAACAGGCAGAGAGAGAGAAATTCACACCAGGCACATGTGCACACATGCCCAAAATCCTGAGAGGAGAATGGAGGAGAAGGGATTGTGGCATGGCCATCCCCGCTGGGGGTTGATTTCTCACTTTCTGTCTATCTGTCTCTGTCTCTCTGGAAAGCATATGTGCCCTATGGCAAAAATCTCTCTTAAAAAAAAAAAAACTTAATAAATTAGGAATTAGTGAGCAGTTACATTCTAAAAAAATACTTAATAAATTAGGAATTAATGAGCAGTTACATTCTAAATTGTAATTTACCATACAGTAAATTTTATAAGCAAACTTTGTTACATATAAACATATTTATATTCCTAAAGATTTATTAAACTTATAAAAATGTTTGTATAGGTCTCAGTTTTTCTCTCCAAATCTCTTACCCATCATCACGGCTCTTCATGTCTGTAGTCAGGACTTTTCATAATCGCCTGTGGGACTCAGTTCCCTATATAATCGTGGAATACTCAAGAGTTTTCTTGCCCTTGGTGTTAGTCAGGAATGGGAATGGGATGCTAGCTGGGACCACCGGGTGGCAGGATAGGGTTGTGAGGGGAGGAGAACATCTTACACTGTTACACTGCACAGCTTGTAGGCCCGTGAAAGGAGCCCTGCGCTGGACTGAGTTGCCCACCCCAATCAAAGACCTGCTACAGGTGGGTGAGGAGGACGTGCCCATTAAGACCAGAAGGTTGAAGAGGCAGGCAAAATCCCTGGAGGATGTGACTTGGGAACTGCTTGTCTTGCGGAGGATGCTGCAGGAATGGAAGACTGCCTGGGCGATAAGTGAGTGAAGGGAGGTGCTGAGATTTTGGTATGTATTTGTGAAGCGTTTTGCACCTTCAGCTAGTTTTTTCAACCTTTGGAAATCCATCCCCCTCTTGTGGAATGTAAGTATCTGGTTGCCTTATTATGGCTAGAGGGTGTTAGAGGAATATGAGTTGGCATGTATCATGATGCTTTTTGCATGGGCAGGTATTCAGTAATTTGTAGAAACTCATGACCTCTTCATAGGTAGGCACTCTAAGACCTCTTCATGGGTAGGGGCACTGTCTTCACTAAACTTTCTGCTCAATAAATGATGAATGAAAGGAAGAATGAAATATGCTACCCAAGCTTTGTACATGTAGTGATCAAAAGAAACTGTTGGGTTGTTGAGAAAGTATTTTTTTTACGCAAAAATGTGTCATGAATTTTCTAACAACCCAGTAGATAACTATGGTATAAACAACAACTCTCCAAAACTGATAATGGAGTTGGGATTATCGTACATCTACTTTGCCTTCAAAGATATGAGGATTGAAAGCTGAATGGCTGGGACAGAGTTACTGTAGTATGGCCTAGCAAATACTGTTGAAAGCTACAGCATTTGAGAATTCAAAGGCTGCCAGCATTTGGGACACGAGAGATTAGTTAAATTAGTGCAGTAAAAAGAGAAGTCACCCTCCAGGGGGTATAGGCACGTTGTAACTCCTTTTCCTCCATTCTCTGTTCTGGATTTTGGGCATACATGCACACACGCCTGGTGTGAGGTTTAAGCCACTGGGTCTGGGACTCGAACTGTGGTTGGCTATGTGGGAGTCCAGCGACGTAACCATTACACCATCTATTGGTCCCATGAACCTTCACTATCTTGCCAGGCATTTTGCTAAACACCTTGTCTAGCTAACTCAAAGTAACTCAATAAGGTAGGTTCCAGTATTATTTCCCCATATTCCAAGTGAGACATCATAGGGACAGAGAGCTAGAATAACTTTCCAAGATCACACAGCTAATAACTGGTTCCATCCACCAGGTATAACTAACAACAAAGTACTCTTAACCACTATGTCTTTTTTAAAAGTTTATTTATTTCATGATACATACACCTTCAGCTAGGCATCCTCAACAGGGTCTTACCATGCCATGATTCCCTTCCCTCTCTGGCTAGTCAGGATCTTAAATGTGTGTGCACCTGGTAAGCCACTATGATTTTTTGTCCCTTTAATTTTCCAGATAGTTACCATAAGAAGCTATTTAAGCACAGCTAGAATATAAGATGGATTGTGGAGAGTTTTGTCTGGAAACTACCTGAGAATGTTCATGCTTCATCAGAGAAATAATTTCCCTACGGACCCCATCTCGGGGCCCTTTCCTCTGAGTTAATGTTTAATTTGCATCGACCTCTGGGAAAGGGAAGTCCCTGTCACATGTCTGTAGCGCAATATCTAACCCTAACCTGATGGTTCACTTGTTTCTCTCCCTGTGGCACAGTCGTTGAGTGGCACCATGAGACAGTGGAGAATCTGCTGCGGAGCCTGGTAGACCTGCATGATGATGTTCGGATCCAAGCCATTGTTGCATGTGCCACAGCTGCTTTGGAACGGCCCCGGACTGCCACCAGCCAGAAGGGCTCAGGTAAGAACCAAGACTGAGTTGCTTGAAAGTATCAGCAGTTCATTAAGCTATAGAACATGTGAATTGGTGGGAGCCTTGGAGCTTGTCTATCATTTTACAGATGTAGAAAGCAAGACCCAGAGACTGGTCTGAAAATACATAGCTTATCAGCAAGAGATGAGATGAAAATTCTCAACTTCTAGTTCAGTGCTTTATATGCGACGTTTCATCACCTCTTGTTTACTCAGTGGCTTGCTTGCAAGTTCAGATTTCCCATCTTGCGATCCCATTCATAGCAGTCAAAAATTGCATTAAAGAAAAAATATATGGGGGTCAGCAGGTGGTATGGTGGTTAGGGTATTGGACTCCCACATGGCCAACTGCAGTTCGAGTCCCAGGCCTGGCTTACTTTCTCACTTTTTCTTTCTCTCACTCTCTCTCTCTCTGTCTCTCTCTGATGACTATAGCAAGTCATTAAATAATAATAATAATGAACAAAATAAATCATTCTTTATAAAAGAAAAAAAGAAAAACAGTATAGATGTACTTTTCTCCCAATTTTCCAATTCTATTTGAGCCCTTCTCTGGAAAGCACATCTCAAACTCAACATGTCCAAAACCTGAACTCATCACCCTAGACAGAGACCCTCTCTCCGTATCCCAAATCCCAAGTAGCAGCCCCACAATGTGTTCAGTTTCTGAGCTAGCATCTGTGGTGTGCTTGGGATCCCTGCTGGCTTGAAGGCTGCAGAGGGCCATAGACTGGCCTCTATTTCTCTTTCTGTCATATGAAATAAACTTTTTCAGGGTCATTATACTAGTCAACATAGAGGAATATAAAAAGAGGCAATACAACCTTTCCTCAACCCACTATCAATTCCCATCCCACACATCACTCCCCAGAGTAATCAAGGATTATAGTTGGACATTCCACATCTTTATGCTTTTTAAAAACATTTGCCAATATGTGGACTTTTCTAATTATTACTAAGATGAGTGTTAAAATTCTATTTTTAATTTAAAAATGTGTTAAAATTTATCAGGCATATTCTAGTTTTTTGTTAGTTTCCTTTAATTGGTGGGTCTGATCAATTCTGACATTAAATTCTTAGAGGGCTAGCCAGTGGCCTGATGATTAAGACGGCTGGATCCTGCACGGCTAACTGTGCAGTTAGAGTCCTAGATGTGGTGGCTTAGGGGAACGTCGGGTGTGTGTTCATGTGTGCCCCAGTCACGAAAGGAGAATCTGCTTTGAAATTTCCTTGGGTATCAAATCGGATGATGAATTTTCAGTACCTAGCACAAAAACAAAACCTTCCATAAGTGGCAATAGATATTATCATAATCTCACTTCCAACTTTTCCATATACAGACAAAGAACACTTCCATCTTCCTCAAAATTGTGCCTTTCATGTTATTTCTTTCATGTGTCCTGGGTATCTAGATTTCACCTTGTTAACCACCCCAAATAAAGTGATCTTACTATTTCTCAAAATGCTCACTTGACTCACCTTCTGTTTATTCCCCTGAAATACACATATTTCAATCTAGTCCATTCTTAACAGATGGCACATCAGCCCATAGCATTTGTAAAAAGAACAGATAATTTGAAATCCTATAATTTGTCACAGGTGCATTTCAGCTAACCTAAGTTTAGCTAACTATCTAAAAATGAGGATAGTTGTGGAGAAAGAGATAATTAAGAATTTTTTCCTTTCTACTTCAGGTTTTTTGTTTGTTTGTTTGTTTGTTTTTAGAGGTTTTTGCCATAGGGTGCGTGCATTTGCCAGGAAGACAGAGAGACAGAGAGACAGAAAGCGAGAAATCATCCCCCGGGGGGATGGCAACACCGCAATCCCTTCTCCTCCATTCTCCTCTCGGGATCTTGGGCACGCATGCACATACGCCCAGTGTGAGTTTTAAGCCACTGGGTCTGGGACACGAACCGCGGTCGACTACATGGGAGTCCAGTGACATAGCCATTACACTAACTGCTGGTCCCTCTACTTGAGATTTTGAGTTTTAGTTAAACCCTCCAATTTATCTGTTGCCCCAGTAACATGGTAAGGATAGGAACTATCTTTATAGGCAACATTGCTTATGATAAAGATGAACGCTGGGGCCGGCTGGTAGCATGGTGATTGAGGCAGCTAGATCCCACATGGCCAACTGCATGGTTTGAGTCCTGGATCTAGTGACTTGAAAAACATGCCAGGCATGTGTGTGTGCATGCCCAAAATGCTGAGAAGAGAAGGGATTGCAGGGTGACCATCCCCCTGGGGGGTGCTTTCTCATTTTCCCTCTCTCTAGCAAGTGTTACGTGCTCCATAGCAAGTTAAGAAAAATAAGAAAAAGAGGGGCCAGCAGGTGGTGTGGTGATTCAGGCACTGGATTCCCACATGGCTGACCATGGTTCAAGTCCCAGACCTGGTGGCCTGAAAAATCACAACAAATAGATAAATAAATAAATATTTTTTAAAAAATTATCACTGATGGTAAATTAGGAATGGGGAGAAGTATAAGTGAACTATAAATACCTGTTAGGGACATCATATCTTGGGCTTCCCTGAATGTTTTAACTTAAAACAGCCATGCTCTTTGGGTACCCTAGAATTCTATTGGGTTGTTGGAAAAGTCATAATGCATTTTTCCATGGAAAAGATAGAAAAATACATCATGATTTTTCCACTGACCCAATATCTATGGAGTTGATACAAGAGATACTAGCTCTGGTGAAGTGTAAGTTTACCCAAGTGAACGCCATGCTTCTGAGCTGTGTCCAGAAGTTCTGTAAAACCCCTTTCCTGTGGATGAACTGTGCTCCTGTCTTATATCTTTCTGAATACTAGTGCCTTGTGTGGCTTATCACAGTCTTATGAATCTGAATGTTTAGTGAGACCTAAAAAGACTCCCTAGGGGAGGGGCGCTGAGAGGTGACATGGTAGTTAAGGTGCTAAACCCCCACATGGCTGACTGTAGTTCAAGTCCTGGATCTGGCAGCTTGCTTTCTCACTTTCCCTTTCTCTGTCTCTCTGGTCAAATTAAAATAATAACAAAAAATGGATTAAATAAATAAATCATTCTTTTTAAAAAAGACTCCCTAGGGAGCTCTACAATGTTATCTGTCTTGCCTAAGTCAACCAGGGTGAGAAGACTAAATGTGAAAATTGGGTCATTGGCATATGCCAATATGCCATGATACTTTTTTCTATGCTTTTCTATGTAAAAACGTGTCTTAACTTCTCTGACAACCTAATATATAAATGGAGAAGCACTACCTAAACATAATTGCAACTGTTAAAAAAATATATAAAGCCCCAAGGACCAGCAGATGGCATAATGGTTATGTTGTTGGACTCCCACATAGTTGACCGTGGTTTCAGTTCTGGGCCCGGCGACTTAAAACTCATACCAGGAGCATGTGCGTGCGTGGCTAAGATCCCAAGAGGATAGACAAATGGAGAAGGGATTACAGTGTGGCCATCTTCTCTTAGTGTGTGATTTCTCACTTTCTTTCTCTCTGTCTCTGTCTTTCTGGCAAGTGCACATGCCCTATAGCAAAAATCTCTCTCAAAAATAAATAAATAAATAAATAAAATACAAAAAACATAAAGCCTGCTGGAGATAAATAAGCTGATTTTCATCACTAAAACTAATGGTGAAGGCCACTATAACTTAGCTGAAAACTTTTGGCCTGGGGACTAGCAGATGGCATAATGGTACATTACTGGACTCCCACATAGTTGACTGTGGTTTGAGTCCTGGGCCTGATGGCTTAAACTCACATCAGGCGCATGTGTGTGCATGCCCAAGATCTTGAAAGGAGAATGGAAGAGAAGGGATTGTGGTATGGCCATCCCCCCAACCCTGGGAGGGTGATTTCTTGCTTTCTGTCTTTTTCTCTCTGTTCTTCTGGGGAGTACATGCACCCTATAGCAAAAATCTAAAAAAAAAAAGGAAAATCTTCAGCCTGAATATAGCTCTTTAGATATCAGATAATAAAGGGCTGGGTATTGGCATACCAGTACAGAAGTGAGCTCTAACCACCTGAGCATAAAATCTTGCCCATCAGGCCATCTAGGTGGCACAGTGATTGAGGTGGCAGGACTCCACACAGCTGATTGCAAGGGTTAGAGTCCCGGGCCCAGAGGCTTGAAAACATGCTGGGCATGTATGTGTGTGTGTGTGTCCAAAATCTCAAGAGGAGAATGAAGAAGGGATTGTGACATGGTCATGGTGCTGTCTCAATTTCATTCTCTGTCTGGTGAGCACATGTGCCCTATAGCAAATTAAAGAAAAAATATTGTAAGGACTCAGCTAAACTATTATGTTAAGTAGCAGCAAGCACGTGAGACTGAGGCTGAGGTTGGCCGCCACATAGCTACGGGAAGGAATCTGTGTTTGAGAGAAAAGCAAAGGGGCTACTACTCTCTTACCTGGTTCTCTTTTGATCACAGACAAGAATGCAAAAGTCCCATCTATCAAGGACTTGCCAGAGGTTCTACAGCCCATCCTGGAAGCTGCTCTTTGTGATAAGAATGTCAACGTGAGGATGGCAGCAGCAATATGCCAATATGCCATACAGTCACATAATCCCCTTGCCCGGGACATCATGCAGACCGCCCTTCTGAAGGGTGAGTAACTCCCTTACTTCTGATTTGGGAGTATGGGCTAAAAGAGAAGGCATCTTGGGACCAGAAAGGCTTAGTGGCTACATCTCTGGATTCCTACATGGTCATCCATGGTTCAAGTCCTGGACCCAGTGGCTTGAAAATCATGCCAGGCATGTGTGTATGCATACCCACAATCCTGGGAGAATGGAGAAGGGATTGCAGTGTGGCCACCACCCCTCTTGGGGGAAGCTTTCTCACTTTTCTCTCTCACTGTCTCTCTCTCTCTGGCGAGCACACACACCCTAATGCAAAAACCTCTAAAAAAAGAGAGAGAGAGAGGATATGTTGCCATCAGCTTTTCCCATCTTTTCTTTTCTTTTTTTTAATTTAAATTTATTTATTTTACTATGACCAGAGAGGGACAGAGAGAGCGAGAGAGAGAGAGAGAAAGTGAGAAGGCAAGCTACCAGGTCCAGAACTCGAATGGCAGTTTACCATGTGGGAGTCCATCATCCCCAGCCAGCACACCTCTTGCCGGCCCCAACTTTCCACATCTTTTCCTCCCCACTATCATGCTCTGAGATGTCTTCCATATTAAGTCTGTGTTTATATTCGAACATTCAGGAATTAGTTCTTCCTAGGTACACTGCTACCAAGTGGTAGTTGGACTAAGTATTCACAGATCCATTTGATTAAAAACTGTGACCTCTTTCAAACAACCTGATTTTTTAAAAATTATTTATATAATTTTATTGATCATTATTTTTTCTTTTTATTTGGCCTGAAAGAGAGGGAAAGTGAGAAAGCAAGATGCCAGGGCCAGGACTTGAACTGCAGTTGGCCATATGGGAGTCCAGCACCCCAACCACCATGCAAGCCCCACAACCTGATTTTTAAAAAATTAAGATGATTTATGATAATATTTTTAATTAAGATTAATTAATGATAATTTTTTTGAAAATTAGAAAAATCACCACCCAAACACATTATGCATCCATTTTTTGCACATTAACTTCTAGGAATTGTTCTACCTGTATGTATTGTTGGAGTTATATTGGACCTAGTGGCTTGAAAAACAAACGGGCATGGGGACAGCAGATACTGTAGCAGTTATGTCACTGGACTCCCACATGGCTGATTGTGGTTTCAAGTACTGAGCCTGGGACCCAGTACTTGAAAATCACACTGGGTGCATGTGTGTGCATGCCCAAGATCCCAGGAGAAGAATGGAGAAGGGACTGTGTCATAGCCATGCACCCCAGTGGTAATTTCTCACTGTTCCTCTCACTGTCTCCGTCTCTCTCTCTCTCGCCCAGCAAGTACACATGCCCTAAGACAAAACTGCTAAAAACAAACAAACAAACAAATAAAAAAACAGGTGGGCACATGGGTGAACATGCCCAAAATTCCAACAGGAGAATGGAGAAGGGATTGTGAAGTGGCTATCCCCCCTGAGAGTGCTTTGTCACTTTCCCTCTGTCTCTCTCGGGCTCTGTCAGATGACAGGTCCAAGGTCCTAACTGCTGCCTCAGAGAGCTGGACTGTTCCTTGCCTTGACGAGGAAAACTAACTAGTTTTCCTTGGCCTCCTAGGTATGGACACCAAACTGCTTAATTCCTCTGCCTTAGAAGTTTTCTGGACTTCCTGGACTCCAGGGGGATAAACAACTAAGTCATCTCTCAGCTCTCTATAGCTATTATCTAACAAGAGCCTTTATGATTGAACTTCTCAAGCTAAAATTTTTAGTTGCCATTTACAACTCTGATCTGATCCATTCAAATATAAACACTAGATTCAAGGAGCCAGCAGGTGACATGGTGGTTAAGGCGCTAGACTCCCACATGGCCGACCACGGTTTGAGTCCAAGACCTGGCAGTTTGCTTTCTCACTTTCTCTCTCTCTCTCTGTCTCTCTAGTGAGTGCGTGTGCCCTATAGCAAAATTTTAAAAATACTAATAAATAAAATTAAATAATTCTTTGAGAAAAAACACTGGATTCGATTTCTCCACTGTGTGGGAACAGAGAAGTGAGGTATCAGGTAATCCAAAGACTGTTGTGTGTTGTGGGGCAGATCACCATTCTGGATTCCTTTTTTCATCTCGCTGCGCAGGTAACAGTGTGGATAGCTGGGCTGCAGCTCAGTGCTTGGCTCTGGAAGGTGCTGCCACTTACCCTGTGATTAAAAGGATCCTCCACCAGTTGTTTAACAAGAGGAACAAGGACACTGAGGACCAGTCCTGTATCCTCCTGAACCATCTCAGTGTGAAGACAGTATGTGTCCTTTATGGGGGTCAGAGGAAAAAAAACAAGTTTCAGGGCACAGCTGAGTCTTTGAGGTCAGAGCACGTAAGGAATCCAAAATGCATGTGGCTGGGGAGAATGATCTCATGCACAGGTAAAAGGGAACGAAGTGTATGTGAGCCTAGGTGTAGAGAGGTACACAGAAGGGAGAAAAGCAGGTTGTAAATGGTTTCTGTGTGATATATAGAATTTGCTTCTGCTGGTTTACCAGGTGCACGGTCTGTTGTACAGTTGTGCTTAGTTGCTTTCTGCAGAAGTGTGAAATTCCAAAGGTTTGAGGTACATACAAATCACTTTAGGAGTGGAAAGACTTCCATTTTCTGTTCAGATTCTCATATCTGTATTTTGTTCTGATTTTTTTTTAAAAGAATGATTTGTTTAAATTTTATTCACCATTATTGTTTTTTAATTTGGCCAGAGAGAGAAAGGGAAAGCAAGTTGCCAGGTCTGGGACTCGAACTATGGTCAGCTATGTGGGAGTCCAGCATCTTAGGAGGCATGATGCCCTCTGCGGGTCCCAGTTGTTCCCCGATTTTTGACCCCAGTCAGGTGGCTTGGATGGAAGAGTCTCCCATCTCTTGCAAATGCTTTCTTATGCTAGGAGAAGCATTTTATGTACTTGAGACATTAATTTTGCTGGATGTCATATTAGGATGTAACTTTAAGGTTCTAGTATTTCTGAAAGTGGTCTTGACTCTCCTCAGACTCTGATACACACCATGCTTGCTGTGGAGCTGAACAGCTGCCAATGGAAGGACCGCATTGTAGCCTGCCGGGCTTTTTCCCGGATCGGCAGAGATATCTGCTTGGTAAGGCTTCTCTTTCTTTGTTTCTGGGTGAAAAAGTCTAATAAGCAAGGCTGGGCTGGGCGCTCTTACACTTTTTGCTGCTACGTAGTATCCTGTTCTTTTATTTTTTTAAAAATAATTATTTAATTTTTTATTATTATTCAATTTGACCAGAGACAGACAGAGTTAGAGAGGGAGGGAGAGTGCAAGAGGCAGAGGGAGAGGGCTAGCAGGTGGTGTGGTGGTTAGGGTGCTGGATACTCCCACATGGCCAACCAAAGTTCAAGTCCTAGACCTAGTGGCTTGCTTTTTCACTCCCCCCCCCTCTCTGGTCAAATTAAAATGAATAAAAATTCTAATAATAAAAGAGATGGAGGGAGAGTGAGAAAGCAAGCTGCCAGGTCTGAGACTCAAACTGTGGTCGACCACATAGGGGAGTCCGGCACCTGAACCACCATTCCATCTGCCAGCCCCTAGTATCCCATTCTTAACAAACAGATCTGTCTTCTCATTGCTATTTTTTTAATGGTAGATTTTTATAAAAGTCACACAAGCTTTTTATTTTCATAATTTTATTTAATTTTTAGTTTTTGCTATGAGGTATATGCTCTCACCAAAGAAAAGAGAGACAAAGAGAGAGCGAAAGTGAGATATCACCCCCAGAGGGGAGAGCCACACCAGAATCCCTTCTCCTCCATTTTCCTCATGTGATCTTGGGGACACATGTACACATGTCCAGTGTGTTTTTCAAGCTGCCAGGTCTGGGACTTGAACAGCATAGCTGGCTATGTGGAACCCAGTCACCTCAGCCTCACACCACCTGCTGCCTCCCTCCCACCTCATTGCTATTTCTTATTCCTAACCAGAATTTTCTTCAAATGACAACACATCTTTCTGTAACTTAATCCAGTGTTTCACAGTGTGGTGGCAGTCCACAAACTGTAACTGATCCACAATGAAATAAAACAGAAACTAAGAGTTTAGAAACTTTTATTATAATCTGACAACGCCTCAATATCAATGGGCTTCATAAAATAAGTAAATGAAGTATTTCCCCCTTAAAAATCGGTCCTTCATCACAGATAGTTTCCTACCAACCCAACCATGTGAGTGTCTATGCTAGTTCTTTTTTTACCACACATATAAAACAGTCTCTACTTTTTAAAAAAATATTTATTATATTTATTATTTTTTTAAAAAGTTTCTATGGCACACATGTGCTCACCAGAGAGAGAGAAAGAGAGAAAGTAAGCTGCCAGGTCTGGGACTCAAACTGCAGTCTAGCACTTTATCCACCGCCCACCTGCTTGCCCCATAGTCCCTACTTTCTTTTTTAAGTGAGATTTTTTTTTTTTTTTTTTTTGCTATAGAGTGAGTGTGCTCAGTGAAGAGAGAGAGACAGAGAGACAGAAAGCAGGAAATCACCCCCTGGGGGGGTGGATGGCCAGGCCGCAATCCCTTCCCCTCCAGTCTCTTCTCAGAATCTTGGGCATACACGCACATGTGCCTAACATGAGTTTTAAGTTGCTGGGTCTGGGACTCAAACTGCAGTTGACTACATGGGAGTCCAGTGACATAACCATTACACCATCTGCTGGTTTCAACAGCTCCTACTTTTAAAAACTATCATTACGAGGGCCAGCAGGTAGTGCAGTAGTTGGGGTGCTGGCCTCCCACGTGATTGAGTCCTGGACCTGGCAGCTTGCTTTCTCACTTTCTGTCTCTCATCTCTCTCTGGTGAGCACATGTGCCCTATAGCTATTTTTTTAAAAAATAATATTAAATAAAACTAAATAAATTATTTTAAAAACCTAGCATTGCAATAAGTATGACAATACTAACATACACAAATGATTCAAGAACAAGCAATTAATGTAAGGTACTTTTTTTTTTTGAGAGGTTTTTTCGCTATAGGGCGTGTGCGCTCGCCAGACAGACACAGAGAGAGAGACAGAAAGCGAGAAATCACCCCCCGGGGGGATGGTCACGCTGCAATCCCTTCTCCTCCATTCTCCTCTTGGGATCTCGGGCACGCACGCACACACGCCCGGCATGAGTTTTAAGCCACTGGGTCCGGGATGCGAACCGCGGTCGACTATGTGGGAGTCCAGCGACATAGCCATTACGCTAACTGCTGGTTCCCAATAAGGTACTTATTTTTAAAGAGATTTTTGCTACAGGGCATATGTGCTTGCTAGAGAGAGAGAGAAAGAGAGAGAGATAGAAAGCGAGAAATCACCCTTCCAGGGGGGAGTACCACACCACAATCTCCTCTCCTCCATTCTCCTCTTGGGATTTTGGGCACGCACGTACAGGTGCCCAGCCTGAGTTTCAAGCCACTTCGTCTGGGACTTGAACCACGGTCGACTACATGGGAGTCCAGCAACATAATCATTATGCTATCTGCTGGTCCCGTAAGGTACTTTCTTTAAACATTTTCAGAGTGGGACCAGCAGTTGGCGTAATGGCTATGTTGCTGGACTCCCATGTAGTTGGCTATGGTTCGAGGCCCCGACCTCGTGGCTTAAACTCACACCGGGCGCATGTGTGTGCATGCTCAAGATCTTGAAAAGAGAATGAAGGAGAAGGGATTGCGGTGTGGCCATCCCTCCTGGGGGGTGATTTCTCAACTTTTCTGTCTCTGTCTCTGTCTTTCTGGCAAGCACATATACCCTACAGCAAAAATCTCTTCAAGAAAAATTATTTTTTCAGAGTGAGAGATTAGTGTTGGCTGAACCTACCAGTTACAGTTCTATAAAAAAGAATGGGACTGAGCTAGAGCCAAAGAAATTCTAAGATAGAGAAACCCTGACCACCATTTAGGCTTGGATCCAACAAACCTTTTTGCTGATACTTCAGAATGGCCCAGAACACTGCCATTCCACTGAGAAGTGAACACCTCACACTTTGATAAAGGAAGCACGAAATCTGGCCATTCAGTCTACCTGCCCAATATAATCACCTGAAGAGATTTTAGACTAGGTTAATTTCGTCTCAAGTGCTATAGTATCCTGCTGCTAAAGTCCTGAACTGGTAGCGTAAGAGTCACCTGAGAGCTTGTTAGAAAAGCAACATTTGGAGACAAGCAGATGGCATGGTGGTTAAGGTGCTGGACTCCCACATGACCAACTGCAGTTCGTGTCCTGGACCCAGTGGCTTGAAAATCACACCAGGCATGTGTGCATGTGTGCCCAAAATCCCCAGAGAAAGGACTGAGGTGTGGCCATCACTTTGTCCCTCTCATTGTCTGTCTCTCTCCTGGAAACAAAAAAGCCCTGTGACAAAAGGAGGTGGTGGTAACTCCCACTAGCCCACTTGAATTAGGACTAGTATCTGATTCATTTGTCCATTCACCTCCTTACTTCTTGGGATTGTCAATTCAAAGTAGAAAGACAGGATGAGCTAGCAGGGGAGAAGATAAAGATGAGGACTTTAGGTCAGGCTGCTGTTTAAGAAAGGCGCTATGCCTAGGGGTTAGTTCTTTCATTCCTTCAGGAAGGACGCACATTTTTTGCCTTTTTGTTTGCTATCGGGCACATGTACTCACTGGAGAGACAGAGAGAGTGAGAAAGCATTCTCAGTGGATGGCCTCACTAATCCCTCTCCACTCCTCTTGGGATTCTGGGCACACATGCACATGCTCCCAGCATCTCTCTCAAGCTGCTGGGTTCAGGATTTGAACTGCACAGTTGGCTATGTGGGATCCAGCCAACTTACCATCATGCTACCACTGGCCTCAGAAAGCAGTTTCTGACCATATCTGACAAGGCAGACACTACGCTGGCATTAGGGATGCAAAGATACTGTCTTCCGTGGTAATGTTATACATAGGTATAACAGACGCAGCTGTAAGGCATCCTAGCTTTCCTACGCTTACAGGGGACAGAGAAGGCATCGTAAAGATTATTCCTAATCTAAATCCTAAAGGAAGAGTAGGTGTCCCCCCTTCTCTCAGAAGAATACACTCAGAGGATGACCAACTATCCTGGTTTGATCAGGGCATGGGACTTTTAAGTACTAAAACCAGGAAAGTGCCAGAAAAACTGGGATGAGTTAGTCACCCTACTATGTATCACTTTCCAATTAAGTTTCGGGTACAGATTAAGTTGTCCCCAATACTACGTAGCAGTAAGGATAAGCCAAGGAAAGAGACCTGGGCTTGAGTCCTAGCTCCAGTGCTCACCAGATTAACCTTGGGCAAGTTCATCAGAACCTTCATTTGTTGTCATCTGTAAATGGTAATAATATCTGCTCCATTGGACTATTTGGGAGATTAAGGAATGGGTAAAAACACTAAGGCCCGAAGCCACCTACAAAATGAATGTTCAATAAATGGAAGCTAATTATTACACCTAATTTATAGGATATGAAACATAAATTAATCCAGCTGATGTGGAATGACTGGAATAAGGAAGTGAGGCATGCAGCTGCCCAAGCGCTAGGGCAAATGAGCCTTGGCAAAGAAGTACATGACACAATCAGGTAACACATGACTAATATGCACCAACTGTTCTGTAAGAGGGTTTGGGCTGGCTTCACAGTGCAGAGCTGATGCACTGCCTGAGAGAAGCTGTCTCACATGGTGCTCACAGTTGGGAGTATCTGGCCCAGTCACCTGGAAACACGCCATGCATGTGTGCAAACACCTAAGATCCGACAGGCTGGAGGACAGTAGGAAGGGGACTGTGGTATGACCAGACCCTGTGAAGGGTGCTCCTTTCTCTAACACATGTGCATGCACATGCACATGACTTATCATTAATAGAGAAAAAAAAATGTTTTAAGTATTTGGGAGCCCCGGGGAGCCAGCCAGCCTGTGTTGAGCTCCTCTGCATGCTCAGATCCCACTATAAAAATTTTATAATCCATGGTGCCATCAGGTAACATGGTGGTTAAGATGCTGGACTCCCATATGGCCAACCACAGTTCAAGTCCCAGACCTGGCAGCTTGCTTTCTCACCTTTCCTCTCTCTCTCTGGTAAGTGAACACCCACTATAGCAAATTAAATAATAACAAATAAAGTGAAATATTTAAAAATTTTAAATTTATTATTATTTTTTTTTAATTTGCTATTGGGTACATGTGCTTACCAGAGAGACAGAGAGCAAGAAAGTAAGAAAGCAAGCCGCCAGGTATGGGACTCAAACTGCAGTCGGACATATGGGAGTCTAGCACCTCAACCACCATGTTACTTGCTGGCCCCCAAATAAATCTTTTTTTAAAGAGGTTTTTGCATTAGGGTGCATGTGCTCACTGGAGAGACAGAGATTGAGATAGTGAGAGGGGAAGTGAGAAATCACCCCTCAAAGGAGATGTCCACACCGCAATCCCTTCTCCATTCTCCTCCCAGGATCTTAGGCATGCATGCACATGGCCGGCATGATTTTCAAGTCACCAGTCCAGGACTTGAACTGCGGTTAGCTATGTGGGAGTCCAGTGACATTAACACTATGCCATCTGCTGGCCCCATAAATAATTCTTTTTTTTAAAGTTAATAGTCCCTGGTGGACCAGCAGTTAGCGTAATGGCTATGTCGCTGGATTCCCATGTAGTCAATCGCGGTTCACGTCCCGAACCCGGTGGCTTAAAACTCACACCAGGCGCATGTGCGTGCGTGCCCAGGATATCAAGAGGAGAACGGAGAAGGGATTGTGGTGTGGCCATGCCCCCTGGAGGGTGATTTCTCGCTTTCTGTCTCTCTGTCTCTGTCTGTCTGGTGAGCACAGCCAAAAGAAAAAAAAAAAAAACCTCTCCAAAAAAAAAAAAAAAGTTAACAGTCCCTGGGAGTCAGCAGGTGGCATGGTAGTTAAGGCACTAAAATCCCACATGGCCAATGATTCCTGCCCTAGACCCTAGGGCTTGAATATCAGCCTAGGCATGTGTGTGCACCCAAAATCACAAGAGAAGGAACTGCTGCATGGCCTCTCCCCGTGGGTGATTTCTCACTTTCCCTGTCTCTCTTTGGCAATTGTACATCCGCTATGGCAAAAACTTAAAAAAAAAAAAAAAAAAAAAAAGAGGAAAGAAAGTGAAAAGTCCCTATAGAAAATAACAATGTGGCTGGGAAAGCAGTGAGTGCTCACTGTAGAGGTGAGGCAATTTCTTTTAGATGTTTGACGGAGTTCAAAAGTAACACTCACATTTTTTTTTCTGGAAAGATCTTCGTTATAGGGTGCATGTGCTAGCTGGAGAGACAGAGAGAAAGTGAGATATTACCCCCTGGGAGGATGGCCCCACTGCAATCTCTTCTCCTCCATTCTCCTCTTGGGATTTTGGGCACACACACATGCATGCATGCATGGGTCCAAGTAGGGCACACTCCGATCACAAGATACACAAAATGGGGACCAGCAGGTAGAGTAATGCTTCTGCCACGGTTTGAGTCCTGGACCCAACAGCTTAAAACTCAAACCTAGTGCATGTGTACCCAAATCCCAAGAGAATGAAGAGGGGATTATCATATGGCCATGCCCCCGGGGGTGATTCCTCCTGCCCAGCAAGCCCATGTGCACTATAGGAAAAAAATCTTTCTTAAAAAAACAAAACAAACATGAATCCCTTATTACAAATACCAAATCAGGGGCCAGCAGGCAATGTGGTGGTTACAGTATGAACTCCCACATGGCTGGCTATGGTTCAAGTCCTGAACCTGGAGGCTTGCTTTATCACTTTCTTTCTCTCTTTACCTCTCTGATAATCATGTGTGCCCTATGGCAAATTAAAATAATAATAAAAATAAAATACCAAATCATACTAAAAACTAGAACAAATGGCATATACCATAGCTGCTGTAAGAGAAAAGTGGAGTCCTTAATAAGAGATAGAGGAGTAAGGCCAAGTTTTATGGAAGATGAGTAAGATGGCATAGGCATTCCAGGCTGGGTGCCAAATACGGAAATGAGCATGGCACGGGAGACCGCAGTGAAGAGCACTTGACTGTGACAAACAGTGTACATTGACAATTCTTTTATTCAAGTCGTTCAACCTAGCTGAGTGCGTAGCATATGCCAGGTAATAGGGATTCGGGTAAATAAGATAGCTGAGGTCTGTACCAGTGAAACTTACCTAATGGACCCACGGCTGAAGGAAGGGCAAGCTGGAAAATGTAGAGCGTACAGAGCTTGGATATTCTCCTGAGGGCACAGTTGGCGGGAGGGAAGGAGGCAGAAACTGAACCTTTTCATTTGTTTTTCAGTTTGCCATAGGGCATGTGCACTCGCCAGAAAGGAAGAGATAGAAAGAAAGCACTCCACAGGGGGATGACCATGCCACAATCCCTTCCCCATTCTCTCAGGATTTGGGGCATGCATGTACACGCATCCAACATGTTTTTAAAGTTGCAGGTCTAGGATTCATACTGTGCAGATAACCATGTGAGATCTAGCTGCCTGAACCATCACACCACCTGGCTGTTCCAAAACTGAACCTTTAAGGAAGGAAAATTAAAACTGTGCTTTTCAGAATCAAGCTGAGTCAAGGTAATTCCCAGGAGCGTGTGGAAGCCCTCTCCCTGATAGGTGGGCTCAAGCTCATGACTGCCAAGCTTCTCCCAGGCTTCCTGCACTGTTTCTCTGATGACTTCACTGCAGTTCGGCGGGCAGCCTGTTTGGCAGCTGGTGCCCTGCAGATTCGCAACGAGATGGTGAGTCAGGGCTCCATGTTCTCTCACCTGAATGACCTAAAGAGGACACTACCTTCCCTTGTGCAGAGTATACTCTCATTCTGTAAGGATACAGAATGAGGTCAGAAGCAGGAAAGTGAAGAGGTATATTGGCTACTTCAGTTAGGGTTACTTAGCTTCTATCTAGCCCAGATTTCATTCTAAGGTACACCCCTGATTCCTGTCCTTCCCTAAGTTAAATAGCTTCTCATTAATTACCTGGGTGCTGATGGACGTTAGGTTCAACTCCAGTGAGAGAAGTTATAATCTCTACTTATTAGGGAGAAACTCGAATGAGGTGTTCAAAGGTAGCATGTTTGGCCATACATCTGTGGGCAGAGAAAAATCAATCCACGGTTATCAGATAATTAAACTCATATACCCTATGAACAGGCTGTTACTTCCCACTCTAGGTCCTCTGTCACTAGGAACGATGACAGGTCATTTTCCAATTATAGCACCCTTTTTTTTCTTTTTTTTTTTTCTTTTTTAGAGATCTTTACTGTAGGGCACATGCATTTGCCATAGACACAGAGAGACATAGAGAGTGAGAAATCACCCGCTCCAGGAGGGATGGCTACGCTGTAATCCCTTCTCCTCCATTCTCCTCTTGGGATCTTGGGCACTCATGCACAAGTGCCCGATGTGAGTTTCAAGCCACAGGGTCCTGGACTCAAACCACAGTCAACTATGTAGGAGTCCAGCAATGTAACCATTACACTACCTGCTGGTCCCCCAATTACAGCACCTTTTATAGATAACTGGTTTCCCTTATTTTGGTTCTTTCCCCACTCAACACTACCTTTTATTCACTCCAGGTGCTAGAATGCCTCCTGAATCTGATGCAGAGAGATCCTTACTGGAAAATCAAGGCCTTTGCCATTCGAGGTATTACAAAAGTAGTGGCTCTGACTTCTCAACCTTAAAATTCCTAGGCTACTATAAATGATACCCAGGAACTCTCTAGTAAGGCATAAAGTATAGGGAAGTACATGATCTTAGCTTCTCCTGAAAGATCCTTGCCTGAGAAGGGAAAGATTATTTTCTTCTTTTTAATTTTTAGTTAAGGACTCTGGGTCTAAGCCTTATCAAACTTGTTAAGGTAAAGGGGTGACATGAGTGCCAAGAGAATTAATTAAGGATAAGTTTCAAGTAGGTATCTACTATCTGTTCTACTTCCTTCTCCTCTTGGGATTTTGGGCACACACATACACATGCCTTGTGTGTTTTTCAAGCTGCTACGTCGAGCACATAGCCAGCTATGTGGGATCCAGCCACCTCAACAACCACGCCACCAGCTAGTCCACCCTGCAGGTTTTCACCATTAACACTCTATGTAAAGGTCAAACCAGATTTAATACTGCTATAGACCTAGAACACGGCCTTCTAATTTTCCTAGTTTCTTTTTAGGATCTTTGCCATTGCTTCTCTTTTTAATATAGTCTTTGGCAGGTCCCTCGCAGAATCAGCCTGAGGTAACCAGTGAAATAATTGTGCTCCTCCCCCCCTCACTCTACCACCACTGTGACTAGGCTGGTCTTCCAAGTTCCCTGTTCCAAATCTCATCTCTAAATAGACAAGCTGGTCTATGTTTACATTCCCAATAGTCAAGGACAGGATGGAACACCTTTTTCCTAGGAATCTTTTAATGTCCCACTCTAACCTATACCTAAATTTTTTTCATTTGTATATTTTATTTCCATTAGAAAAATATTATCTATACAAAATTTTGGTCCATATTTTCCTTTTCCTCTATCATTCAAATTTAAATATTTTTACTCAAGTAAAAGCAGAATCATATCTGACCTAAGAATTAATTATTACATGTCATCATAATAGGAACTAACTGAATTAGGTATCCTCTCGATAATTTCTCAGGAACAATACTCTCCTTTCCTATATGTTATTTCCATTTACTTTTATTTATTCCAGTTAACTATGTAACGAGTATCTCTTCTACATTCAGTAATATGGGTATACAGTAAGTGTAATTTATAACATCAGTAACTGGATTAATTATTTCATCTTCAATTCACGTTCAACTCTCCCTATTATATGGTATTTCCATAATGACTCCAGATATTCTGGTCAAATTATACTTTCTTCATTGTAAAAATTAAGATGTTAATTAAAAAACATAGAGGGGCCAGCAGGTGGCACAGTGGTTAAGCACTAGATTCCCACATGGTCGACCATAGTTCAAGACCAGGATCCAGTGGCTTGAAAATCACTTCAGGCACATATGCATGTGTGCCCTAAATCCCTAGAGAATGGAAAAGGGATTGTAGCATGGCCATCCCTCGTGGGGGGGGTTTCTCCTTTTCCCTCCAGTGAGCGCATATGCCCTGTGGCAAAAATCTAAAGGAAATATAAACATAATGAAAGTTCCAAACTAAACATGGGTCCACTTACAATCATGCTGTTCTGAGAGGTCCTTAGGAAGTTATTGCTTCAATCTCAACTTTGCCTTCTCTGGGTAAAGCAGCAACCTGGTAAGCAGCTCTTACAGGAAGGCTACTCTTCAAATAGTTTGTGTATATATTTATTTTTTTAAGGTTTTTGCTATAGGGTGTATGAACTCACTGGAGAGACAGAGAGGTGATGAGAGGGTAAGAAATCACCACCCTGGGGATGGCCAGGCCACAATCCCTTCTCCTTCATTCTCCCCCTGGGATTTTGGGCATAGGTGCACACATGCCTGTAATTTCTGTCAGTCAGCCAAAGAGTTGCTGTCTTGTTTTGTTTTGTTTTGTTTTCGAAAGATTTTTGCTATAGGGCGCATGTGCTCACTGAGACAGAAAGCGAGAAATCACTCCCCCAGGGGGATGGCCATGCCACATTTCCTTATCCTCATGGCATCTTGGGCACACATACACACTGCCCAGCATGAGTTTCAAACCACTGGGTCCAGGACTGAACTGCATGCAGTTGAACATGTACAAGTCCAACAATGTAATCACTACACTACACCATCTGCTGGTCCTAAAACAGTGTTTTTACCATTATTTTAGTGCAGCTTTTAGAATTTCACCCACATTTCTAAGAGTTTGCTTACTAGCTTCTTCTGCTACTGCTCTTCACATAAGCCATCTACTTGAAAGGGTTGATGCTAGCTGTCCTCATTGACAAATACTGCTTGACTGGAGGAACCAATGGCCCCTGAAGTATTTATAGTACTGATCACATCTTTTTAAAGAATTATTTTATTTAATTTTATTCATCATCATTATTATTAGTTTTAAATTTGACCAGAGATAGAGATAAAGGGAAAGGGAGAAAGCAAGCTGCCAGGTCCGGGACATGAACCACAGTTGGTCATGTGGAAATCCAGTGCCCTTAACCACCACGCCACCTGCCGGCCCTGGTGCTGATTACTTTTCTGACCAGGGACAACATGGCTAATTCTCTCTGAAGCCTATACCCCAGCTTTGTAGGCTCCTCAGCCATCCATATCCCTAAAATTCGAATGGTGATTAATTGCCATCCAAAAGGAAAGATACTGTTTGCAATATTCAACTGATTCCTGAATGCTAAAATATAGCTAACTCAGTTGTCAGTGACAATGGAATATGTTGTCCTTTAATCTTTGCAGCTTTGGGACAGATTGGGCATGTGAGCCCTCGGCTGACAGATCTCCTACTTTGGGCTGTCCACTATGAAGAGTCACCAGGTGTAAGACTAGAAGCCTGCCGTAGCATCCTAGCCCTCAAACTTCAAGGGGACCGAGTCAGGGACACCTTCCTAGATGTGCTCCTCCTGGAGAACCATGATGCTGTTCTAAAGTAAGTGCTAAACTTCTGGCTTCTGCCATCCTTGTTCACTGTGTATGTCCCCTGCCGTTCCAGGCTGCCTAATGGCAGTAAAAGCACAAGTTCGCCTGTGCCATTCAAACCCAAGTGGGCATTACAGCATATTTTTTTTTTGGAGAGGTTTTTGCTATAGGGTGTGTGCATTCGCCAGACAGAGACAGACAGAAAAATAGAAAGTGAGAAATTATCCCCCAGGGGGGGATGGCCACACCGCAATCCCTTCTCCTCCATTCTCCTCTCGGGATCTTGGGTACGCGCGCACACGCACCCGATGTGAGTTTAAGCCAACGGGTCTGGGACTCGAACCGCAGTCGGCTACATGGGAGTCCAGCAACATAGCCTTTATGCTAACTGCTGGTCCCTACAGCATATTAAAAGTCAATCCCATGTAGTTCATGTGCCTTCTCAACTCCTAGATGCTTTTTTTCTTTAAGAGGTTTTTGCCTTAGGGCACGTGCACTCACCAGAGATAGAGACAGTAAGAAGGAAAATGAGAAATCACTCTCCAGGGGGATGGCCATACCACAATCTCTTCTCTATTCTCTTCCCAGGATCTTAGGCATGCATGCACATGCCCCGGTGTGAGTATCAGGCTACTGGGTCTGGGACTTGAACCTCAATTGGCTATGTGGGAGTACAATGATGTAACTGCTATGTCATCCGCTGCCCCCCTCATGCTTTTAAGTAATCATATTCAACTAACATTTATCGAGTACACATTGTGACAATAGGTTTTAAATAAGTCAAAAAGACCACAGTTCAAATTCAAATTCTGCATGCATGAGCTATGCAAGCCTGGGCAAAATACTTAAAAACTCTCTGAACCCATTTTTTCAAGTATCAAATGCAGATAATCACCTATATTATAGGCTTGTGGTAATAATTAATGAGATGACATGTTCAGTACCTCATAAAGGTATTCAATCAATTATACCTAGGAGGACCTTCAATAATCTCAAAAACTGTACAACATACCATTCTTGCAGATAAAGCTCAGCAAAACTGCATAGTTAGAATTGAAATTTAGAATTCTTTCCCGATTCCAAGTCCTATATTTTTCACCCCCATGATTTTCTTAAGGGCAGGGTAGGCAAATCTAAGAAATAATTATCTTTCAGGGAGATTTATCAGGCGATGAAGATACTCAACTTAGAAAATGAAGGAAATCAAGAAATGCTTCAGGAGATCAAGAAAAGGGTAAATAAATGGAAGTTGTGTTTTCAAGAGAAAATTCAAGGTTTACAAAGCCCCTCTGACCATTTTCCATCACAGAAATACTTTCAATAACCCCTGACAAAGACACTGTATCATTTATTTATTTATTTAGATTTTTGCTATTCGCACTTGCACTCACCAGAGAGACACAGAAAGCAAGAAATCATCCCCAGGGGTGGAGGTGGCCACACTGCAATCCTTTCTCCTCCATTATCTTCTTGGGATTTGGGCACGCATGCACAGGCACCCAGTGTGAGTTTTAAACCTCCAGGCATGGGACTTGAACCGCTGTCAATTACATGACAGTCCAGTGATGTAACCATTATGCCATCTGCTGGTCCCAATACCATATCATTTAAAGATACAAAATCTCTGTGCAAGATTGGGTTATAAAATCTACTGTGCTGGGGCTAGTAGGTAGCATAGTGATTAAGGCGCTGGACTCCCATGTGGCCAACGACAGTGTGAGTTACGGACCTGGGGGCTTGAAACTCAAGCCAAGTGATAGTGCATGCATGCCTCAAATCCCAAGAGGATAATGGAGAAAGGACTGTGATGTGGCTATCACCCCTCTGGAGGGGGGATTTCTCACTTTCTCTCTCTTTGTCTTTGCAGCAAGTGCACTCACCCTATAGCAAAAGTTTCTTTTTAAAACAAACAAACAAACAAACAAAAAACCTATGGTGCTATTAGCTGCCCCTAGCATAATGGTTAAGCACTGCACATTGGGAGACAGATCCCACATGACTGACCGAGGCTTGAATCTATACCTGGGCAGCTTGAAACACATGCTAGGAACATGTAAGTAATTTACCCCAAATGCTGAAATAATGGTGAAATGGAGGAAAAAGGATGGTGGTATGACTATGCCCCATCAGAGGGTGCTTTCTCTCTCTCTCCCTTCCTTTCTCTCTCTGGCAAGAACATGGGCCCTCTGGCAAAAACAAAAAAAATTCTATTGGTAAAGATAAAAACAAAACAAAAATCCTATTAGTCTGGGGCTGGCAGGTGGTGTGGTGGTTAAGATGCTGAACTCCCCACACGGCCAACTGCAATTCAAGTCCCAGAGCTGGCAGCTTGCTTTCTTGTTCTCTCTCTGGTGAGCATGTATGCCCTATAGCAAATTTTAAAAAATGATGATAGATAAAAATTAAATAAATCTTTTTAAAAAATTGTATTAGTTCTATTAAGTAGCCCTTTAAATAATGGTTATTGTTGTTTCTGAAATACTGCCTCTCTCCCTTCCCACCACCCCCAGAATCCCCTAAATTCAAGTTATCCTTCCTTTTTTAAAAACAGACATAAAGAAACATTTTCCTTTTTCATTTTTAGATTTTTGCCAAAGAGCACACTCAAAGGAGTCAGAGAGAGGGAAAGTAAGAAATCACTCCCTGGGGGTATGGCCATAATGCAATCCCTCTCCTCTACTCTCAGGATTTAGGGCAGAAATGTATGCACATACAGCTGTTTTTCTTCTTTCTTTCTTTCTTTCTTTTTTTGAGAGGTTTTTACCTTAGGGCACATGTACTCTGCAGGAGAGGAAGAGACAGAGAAAGTGAAAGGGAAAGTGAGAAATCACCCCCTAGGGTGCAGGCAGAGAGATGGCCACTCTGCAATCCCTTCTCCTCCACTCTCCTCCTGGGATCCTGGGCATGCATGCACACATGCCCAGCATGAGTTTCAAACCACTGTGTCCAAGACTTGAACCCTCAAGTCATGTAGGAGCCCAATGATGTAACCTTTATGCCATCTGCTGGCCCCTCACACTGTTTTTCAAGCTACTGTTTCTAGGACTAGAACCAGAGTCAGCTATGTGGGATCCAGCCCCTTAACCACCATGCCACCCACTGGTACTTCAAGCAAGCATTTCTTAGCAGATTCCTTTCATCATACTGAAAAAGGTGAAGTAAAATTTTCATTAACAAGTGTAAAAAGTTCAACTACTATCATAAGAGACCAATCTTTCAAGCATTATGTACCACCTGATACTAATAAGCATAATGCTATGTTACAATATTAATCCTTTCCTGATGATTTGCTGACTACAAAAAGTTTTTTTTAATATTATTTATTCTAATCTAGATTAAAACACTAAGCCAAAAGGACTTGCTGACAAATAAAATATTCAAGATTGAGATGGCCATAAGGAAAGTGAGGGAGGAAGCAAAACATGTTTATCTGCAACCCAAAAAGGGGCAAAAACCACTGAAACTCCATACTTTTCTCCAAGAAATTTTTCAGGGTAGGTTTCCAAGGGTTGAGTCCTATGCCTTGACTCCTTTCTAAGACTTTTCCAGGATCTGGATGTTTTGGGACTTAGTAGCAAGTCCTGTAGGATCACACAGGAAAGGTGCTACTTTTCTTTTTAACCGCTGTCTACTCAGTCTACTATTTTTTTCCATGTCTCTCAGGTATATTTATTTCTTCGCTATTTGTTCCGGGCGGGAGAGGGGAGGTAGTTCTATTGATATTTGAACTGACTTAAAAATTAGGTCAAAAAAGGATAAGGGGTGTGGTGACGCACATCTGTAATCCCAGTAAACTTAGGGGGCTAAAGCAGGAGGGTCCCAAGTTTGAGGCCAACCTAGGTAACGTAAGGAGACACTCTTGCTAATGATGATGATGACAATGACATACAGGTTGAGCATTCCCTAATACAAAAATCTGAAATGCTGCAAAACTCAAAACTTATTTAGTGCCAATAAGATGCCACAGTGAAAACTTCCACCCCTGACCTCATGTGACAGGTTGCAGTCAAACACTGCAATACAAAAATTTTTATACTGAAGTATGTATAAAATGACCTTCAAGCTATATATATAAGGTGTATGAAACATAAATAAATTTCATGTTTAGGGACCAGCAGTTAGCATAGTGGCTATGTCATTAGACTCCCATGTAGTCAACTGCGGTTCAAGTCCTGGACCCTGTGGCTTACTTACACCAGGTACATGAGTGTGCATGCCCAAGATTTTGAGAAGAAAATGGAGAAGGGATTGCTGTATGGCCATCCCCCGTGGGGGATGATTTCTCACTTTCTGTCTCTCTGTGTCTTTCTGGCGAACACATGTGCCCTATAGCAACCCCCCCCAATAATAAATAAATAAATTTCATGTTTAGATTTGGGTCCCATCCCCAAGATATCTCATATCTATATGCAAGTATACCTAAATCCAAAAAAGCCTGAAGCTAGAAACACTTCTAATCTCAAGCATTTTGTATAAGGGATATGCAACCTGTCTTTATAAAAAGAGTCTTTATAAAAAACAAAACAAAGGAACCAGCAGTTAGCGTAATGGCTATGTCGCTGGACTCCCACGTAGTCGACCGCGGTTCATGTCCCGGACCCGGTGGCTTAAAACTCACGCCGGGCGCGTGTGCGTGCGTGCCCAAGATCCCGAGAGGAGAATGGAGGAGAAGGGATTGCGGCGTGACCATCCCCCCTGTGGGGTGATTTCTCGCTTTCTGTCTCTATGTCTCTCTCTGTCTGTCTGGCGAGCGCACGCGCCCTACAGTGAAAATCTCTCCAAAAAAAAAAACCAAAAAACAAAAAACAAAAAATTGTGTATGTTTGATTAAGCACTAGAAAACGTATTAACTTAACCTTTAATGGTTGTTACCTCTGGAAAGTGGAGGTAGAGGGAAAGCTATCCTTTTTACTTGATGTGTATCTATGCTTTTGTGACTTTTAGACGTCTCCAACTTTAAATAACTGAATCTATGGATTACGGTGACAGGATCTTAGAGTCTCAGATATAACCTACATGATGAGGGTGTAGAAATCAAGCTGTACCAAAATATACTTACAAAATTTGTGTGCCCAAGCGTAGTAGCAGCCTCAGGTCACTCAGTCAGCTGCCTACCAGCCACCACCCCAACCCAGGTCTTCGGGTTCCAAGTCCAGTGCTCTTTCTGGTACACCAGGCTCTTTTTCACCAACCATGAGAATATTCACTTGCCAGATTTGGGAAAGTTTCTTCCAACTGCCAGAAAAAAATGAAAGTGGAAAGTAACTTGAACACCAGCCGTTCCTCATGGCCAGCTTGCTACTTGTTGGTTGGCTATGAGCCTGACAGTACAAGGTGACATGCTGCCCCTTTGGGAGTAGTGCCAGCCCTGATGCAAGCAAGCACCAAGCAAAAATATAATATGCTCTTAAAACAGACTTTGCTGGTGGGAATTAATTTAGAATTCTGTTTGAGGTTCAAGTGATATAAGATGAATAAATTACCCTCAAAGTGAGAGAATTGGCTCCAATGAGTTTCTCTTCTTTAAAAGGTTATATAACATGGTTCTTTTATATCCTACAATCACCTCACGTTACTTTTCACCTAATCATACATTTTCCTTATCTCCTTCCCACTCCCACATTTCTTCAAACCTCCCCACATAATAATCTAGCCTCAGAAAAGGGAAATATTCTTTGGTACTTTAATAACTTTTCTAATGTTTACAAAACTTAATAACAAACAGGACACTGACCCCAACCTTCCCCCCAAACTGATGGAAAAAAAGAACTCAAAAGATGCAAATTCCAAATAAAAGCTTCTAATGTCTCAAGCAAAATGACACAACCAGTGTTACGCAATACACTGAAGCTTGAGGGGGATGAAGCTGGTGCTCTGAAATAATCAGGGATAGCAGAAATATCTCCTTCTATTCCACTTCCAATTTCTGCTTTTACTTTTGTACCTAGATGACGTGGTGGTTCTTCCTAGAAGACCGTCTGAGGTTTGTGACATTGAAGCAGTCATAAAGGTAAATTGAGCTCACTGGTCACCAAGGTAAGAATGTAAGTTTTTCAACAACAAAACTGGTGGTGGTAGGAGGTAAGAATCGCTACTGTCTTCTTTCCAGCAATTAACTGGAAACTAGTTTAGGGCTAAAGGCATCTTGGTGAGCAGTAGCCCCTTATCATACAACATGGTTGCCAAAGAAAGCTGGTCCTCCACACTGTCACAAGGCAGGTCTCCTACTCTCACAAACTCTGGGTAGGAGCGAAGCAAGAGTTCCATGGCATCAGCTTGCTGAGGGTATATTTCCAAGCACTTGGGCTCTTCCAGATGATAAACACGGGAGTTTTCCACAGTGTAATAGAGAAACAAATGGCCTCCTTCACCCACCAGCCGGGCTATCCCATCCTGAAGCATATGGACTTCTGTTTCTGTTGTCAACTGGGCCCCCACGTTTACAGGTTCTCCTGCCTCCCAGCGAATTGGGAGACCGTAAACACTTAGTGCCCTCTCCCTATCAGTCAATACAGGGGGCAGAGAATCATGGATAAAGTCTTTGGCTCTCTGATCAGCCACAGCATCAACTGGAGCAAAGTGCCCCAGGCGGGCAACCAAGACTCGCACCTTCTCCATAAAAGCAGTTCTTCGCGGATCCTTAGAATCCGAATGCTGGGCACCCATGTAATCCATGAAATCTCGGGGCAGACCCCTCCTAAACTCCACATTTTCATCCATTGCAGCCTGCACGGCCAGAGGCAGTATGGCCTCCAGGAAGTCGCCCCACGTATTGCGCTGGTATGTGGACACGGTGAGGTGCAGAGAGTGGACTCCATCTTGGCATTCGGCTTGGTGAATGAAGCCCCGAGGAAAATAGAGCAAATCCCCAGGTTCCAGTACAGTCTGCAGCACCGGTTCACCGAGGTCGTCCTGGCTGAAGTTGGGGCTAGATGTTAGGGCCAGTTCTTCAGCTGGTACCCGAGGTCGGTAGACGCGCCAGAGTTTCCTACCTTCCAGTTGCAGCACGAAAGCCTCAATGTCATCATAGTGAGGAGCGAAGCCCTGCGAATTGGGGGGCGTTAGGTAAACATTGGAGCCTGCCTTAAGTAAAACGTGGGCCCCTGCCATACTTCCAAACTGCTCCTGAAGCACAGCCAGAAACTGCCATACTGTGGTGGAAAAAGCCTGCGGACAGAGGAGGCGCAGGGAGCAGCCGGCCTGGGACAGGGAACACGCAGCCGGC